GTAATTTCTATTTGGGAATAGTGCTTTACTGTTGTGCCTTGTTTCTTACAGCCCAAAGTATTTTCATAAATTTGTTTCGGAAAGACCCTAAAATTCAATTATTTTTTTGGTATGTTTAAATAAAGGTACACCATCCAGTCCACGGACGAGCAGACGTTCACCACACTGACCCATGGGTCAACAAAAGCCAAGGACGCCACGCCTCTGATCTATACCCCGCGGACAAAGACGGGTATGGTGTACACTCCTGGGGCTCTCAAAGCCAAGGTCAGTGTGAAGTCAAACTTGGAAAACTGTTAGTTAAGGGAACGAAGTTATGTCTTCTAAAAAAATAAAACAAGAGAGAGAGAGAGAGAGAGAGAGAGAGAGAGAGAGAGAGAGAGAGAGAGAGAGAGAGAGAGAGAGAGAGAGAGAGAGGGTGGGAGGGATTATTTTGGTAAGTATTTTGACGCGCTGAGCTCGCAGGACATATAAAATATTTTCAGTTTGGTAGGGCTCCGAAATGGATTCAATTCAGAGTCATCCGAATCGTTGATCAGTATGATATTATTATAAACTGACCAAAAGATGCCTTTGATATCAGCAATATTCCTCTTCAACTTTAGACAAACACAACAAAGCTTACTTCGACATCTTATTTGCTAAACATTTTCTGTTCTCTTGGAACTCTGGGAATACAGGATTAACTGGTACAGCGTTAAAACTAGTACATCCTCTGCATCACTTTAGTAATTGGTTATGGATGAATATTTCTTTCTCCAACGATACAATTTAGATCATTTAGGAGTATTTTGCAGTATTTCAACAGAAAGATGGAGGAGGATATTTTATGATACGTCATTTTCCCCTCGAGGGAATCAAACTCGTGCCTTTTTCTGTACAAGATAAAAGTGCTAGACGCCCAGTTTATTTTGATCTAAACACACCTGTGTATGAATCTGAAGAGGAGAAATTTAATATTTTGTACTTTTTCCCATCAAAGTATTTCTTTCCTTCTTTCTTTCTTTCTTTCTTTCTTTCTTTCTTTCTTTCTTTCTTTCTTTCTTTCTTTCTTTCTTTCTTTCTTTCTTTCTTTCTTTCTTTGCACATACGGTCTTTTCCCGTGATTGCACGCACGGAAGATTGGCAGACTTTGCCATGTGTTTGATGTCGCGCCGCTGTTATCGGTCTCAGGGGACACCGATAATTTATCAACAAGATTTAAACTTTGGCCGGGCTGATGGGTTAGTGGTCATTTTTCTCTCCTCTCTCTAATCAGAGGGCACAAATGTGTCATGGCAACTGGTCCAGCTTTGTTTTTATAATTCCGAACGAATGGTCGGTTCTTGTTTGAGCCAGTCAGGGCGCTCCATTTTCTTGTTTGGTATCATACTGAACTACGGACAGGATTGCTGTGGTTTGAATCTCTGACTGAGCATTCTTAAACTTTGACTGTTTTGTTGAGTTTTTAAAGCTCTCAACTCATATAGTTATGTCCTTCCTACCGGAGAATAGTGTTAAATGCAGGAGAACCGTCTCTGAAATAACCCTGTAGTTTTGGTGTGACTGTGTGTGTGTGTGGGGGGG